TGATGCAATGATTGGGAATGGCCGCGGCTAGAGCCTGCTTCCAGGCTGTTGACAGGTGTTTGCCTCAAGGTCGGGGGCATTTGGAAATTGAGACGGGCGAGACAGGCCTAAGGGGCTAACGGGGGCGGGTTGTTGCTTTTCTGCGTTCTCCGCACCTAGACGGTCACAGGCTGCTCGACATGGCGTGCGCCGAGGAGGGCTGGTCGACCACAGCTTGATGGCCATGGCCCGTCCTTAGGGCAGGTCTTTGTCTTTCCCCCCGCTGCCGGGGCGCGTTGCTCCTCTTCGGCGCTCGCTCCGCTCGCTGCTCCGCTCGCTGCTCCTTCTCTCCTTTCTCCCAGCCTCCAATCGCTCCTCTCCCCTAAGTGACTGAGCTGGTGGTAGCCTGGAAGCTGTGAGACCCAGGCAGCTTCGCACAGCGAGAATTGAGCTCAGCTTGCGCCTCTGCGGTCCGCAAAGTGCCGCCAGCTTCCAGCTTGTTCCGGGCCGGCAGGTTAGGCAGGCGGTGTAGGTGCTGGCGGAGCGACCGCGAGCTCAGCGCCCCAAGGATCTGGAGAAGTTCTCGAATTGATTTCGAGGTGATGCTTGAAAGCCTCGATCTCGTGGTGCTCTCAGCCTTTTCCGTATCCACGGCAAGGCAGAGGAGCGGCCAGCGGCTCTAGCGTGCGTCGCCTGTGGCACCAAAGGCCCCGTCACGGTGCCGCCCCGGGTTCCGCCCCTGGTGCCGCCCGTGTCGCCACCACTGCCCCTGCTGCACTGCTGACATCTGCTCACGCTTTTTACTCACGCTTCTTGCTGACGCATTGCCTCTGCGCGCGGTGCTCTCCGAGGTTTTTCCTCGGCCTGTGTGGCCTCGGCGTCTCTTTGAGCGCCAGGGCTTTTGAACGGCTCCTTGCACAAGGTAACAGTAAGTAGGCACATCTCCCCACAGTCCGAAGGCGTCAGTTCACTTGGCCAGCCCGCAGGAGAAGTAATCTCTGCAACTGTCAGCTCATGCCACACGTGCCGGTTGGAGCTGCGAAAGGTGCAGAGCGAGATCAGGCAAAGTCACGTGACAAAGCATTGCTGCCGCCGTGGCGATTGAGTGGTCTGAGTTTCGCTGGCCTTTTGTGACTGTCCCGGAGATGCGTGTATTCCCGAAATGGCTCCTGGCAGCCCCCGTCAGGTTCACGTCTGCCCCTGCTTGGCTCGCTTTCGTTGAGCTCTCAGACTGATGCCACGATTTGGAATAAGAAAGCTCCAAGTTGCCTCTGATGAGCCCTGTGCCTGTAACTGTAATCGCAAACCTCAGACACCTTGCAAGTCCTTTCAGCTGTGCCCTGGCAGGTGCCCTGGCAGGCCTGAGACGAAAGCCAGCGAAAGCTTAACTTGGGCAGTTCCCCAAATCAGAGTGCAGTGACGGCAAGAGATCCTGGCTGGCATGTTGAGGTCCGATAAGTCCATGAGTGTTGTCAGGCAAGGTTCCTGAAAGGCTTCCGGCCTGGAGAGAGGACCGTTGTTGAAGGCCTCCCTGAAGCCGTTGTCTCTCCATATAGCTCATGTCTGGGGCCTGACCTTGGCCTTGTTTTGGGTGGTTCTAAGCTGAATTCTGCCCTGCGGGCTGTGCGGCCTCTGCGGGCTGTGCTCCGCCCATGGCGCATGTCTTCGGCCGATGCGGCACTTTGCCGAGGGGGCAAAGTGAGACACTCTGCACACTGAGAGCTGCACGTCTGAGAGTCGCGAGCCAGACGGGTGACGGGTGACCGCCGGCGCAGAATGCCATCGAACTCTTCGACTCCCAGGCATTGAAGGGAAAGTCTCTTTATCGCCTGGTGCGTCCCGTTTGTTTGCCAGCAGGATATAGGTGGATTTGCATCCGGTAGGGGGCGGCATAAGAGGGCGCCGGCGGCTCTGATGCTGGAGTTTAGAGGGAGTCGGAGCCTCGAGGCTCGCCGCTTTTCTTCTTGGGCTCTGTGTAGATAGGTGTGCCCCTGTGAGACTTGTGCTCTCCTCCAGACATGTCTTTTGCAGTCACCGCCTGGAGCCCGCAGCTAGGCCAGCTAGGCTCAGGAGACGCGGTTGGGGTCCGCCGGCGCCTCCGCTGACGCTGCCCGAGCTGCCCGGCGTGCGCAGAAGCATGCAGACGTGCCGCCGCTGCTCGGCCTCAGCCACCACCGCCCGTAAAGAGGAGGCGACGGAGGCGTTTCTCCGCCTGTCCCTTCCCTTGAAGCGCAGTGCTCGGAGAGCTCTGCCTCTGCCTCTGAAGTCAGCTCCGTCTCGCGGAGCTTCCGCTTCCGCACGCAGGCGCAGTCTCCAAGCTCTCCCAACGCCACCACCCCCGCGACGGCGGGCTTTTCGGGGCGCTTTGAGGTGCAGGCTTCCAGAGCTCCCTTCTGGCGGCCCGGTGTCTTTGCCGTCGCTTTAAGCGACACGTCCTGAGCAGTGAGTGACGGCAAGAACCCAGAGCTTCAAGAGAGTGAGCAAGAGGGCAAGATGCGCAAGAAAATGCGGGAGTGCAATGTGAAGTCAGAGGCTCCATTTCTGGCTCCCTTTCCAGCCTTGGTGTCCCAAAGCTGGCCAGATCAAGCGCTTGTTCCAGGGTCTGGCTCTGGCCCTTCTAAGCACCGCAGCACCGGCGCAGCAAGGCAGCAAAAAGCGCCTGGCCTCGTACTCCACGTAAGCTCAGTGCCTTCTTTCAGGGTGCGTCATGGTCTGTGAGACTCTGTTGAGGCTTTTTCCGGCCGATGTGCTACGGCTCTTGAGAAGCTAAAGAGCTGCTGGAGGTCTCCAGCTGGTGCAGTCTCGATCTGTGCTAGGAATGCTAATGAGAAGACGCCGATTCAATCCGTCGGCGTGCAGGAGGTCTCAAAGGCACCTTTCTGTATTTCCTCCCTGAAACCTCCGGTGGCATGGGATACGGCGTTTCTTTTTCAGGGTCTAGGCCGCTTAGGCCTGCCAGGGACTAGGCCTGCCTGACCGATGACAGCTATACGGTGAGACGCTGTTGCAGCGCTACGCTGTGCACAGTCACAGCTCCGAGTAGGGATAGCCGAGGCTTCTGATCTGAGCAGGCGCTGTCAGTGAGCTTCTGAAGCGGTTGAAAACAAGCACTGCAAATACACAGCACTTTGCAAACCTGCTGTCCTACTGTGCTTACTGTGACATACTGTGATCTTGTGAGCGAGGGTTTCTGATTGTCTACCGCCGCCTTGACAGCTCTAAAGAGCCACAAGACCGGCAACGGGCATTGGAGCAGCAGGCGAGCTCTGTCGAGTTTCCAGTGACTGTACTGCCAGATGCTTGCAATGCAGGTCCGGCACTCATGTCGCATCGCAAGTTCGAGCGGCCCCGTCACGGCTCTCTGGGCTTTCTGCCCCGGAAGCGAACGAGGCGTCTTGCTGCATAGCACGTAGCCCATGTAACCCATTTCTCATGATGATGTCATGCCCAATTTGCAGGGACGCAGGGAGCCTGCTTTGTTGCGAGGCACCACCACGGCAAGATTAAGAGCTTCCCGAAGGACGACCAGTCCAAGGCCCCACACCTCACAGCGTTTATGAGCTACAAGGCGGGCATGACCCACATCGTGCGGGATATTGACCGGCCAGGGTCCAAGTTGCACAAGAAGGAGATCGTGGAGCCCGTCAGCATCGTCGAGAGCCCCCCCATGATTGTGGTTGGCTTCGTGGGCTACGTTGAGACCCCCCGAGGCCTCCGTGCGTTGACCTCCGTGTGGGCAGGACACCTGTCCGAGGAGTGCAAGCGTCGCTTCTACAAAACGTGGCACACTTCCAAGCAGAAAGCTTTCACGAAGTACCAGAAGCGCTGGGAAGAGGCTGGTAAGGATGGCACTCCGATGGCTGCCGAGGTTGAGCGGGCAAAGAAGTACTGCCAAGTGATTCGGGCCATCTGCCACACGCAGGTGGGCAAGGTGCGTATTGGCCAGAAGAAGGCGCACATCAAGGAAATCCAGGTGAATGGAGGCACCACGGAGGCAAAGGTGGACTTCGTGATGGGCTTGTTTGAGAAGGAAGTGAAGGTGGCTGACGTCTTCAGCCAGGACGAGATGGTCGATGTGATCGGTGCGACGAAGGGTAAGGGCTTCAACGGCGTGGTGACACGCTGGGGTGTGACGCGGCTGACGCGGAAGACGCACCGCGGTCTGCGCAAGGTGGCATGTATCGGCAGTTGGCACCCAGCCCGCGTCGCTTTCCAGGTGCCCAGGTCGGGACAGCGGGGCTACCACCATCGCACCGAGATCAACAAGAAAATCTATCGTGTGGGCAAGGCCCTGAAGGACGATGCCAACAACGCCAGCACTGAGAACGACCTCACGGAGAAGCCCATCACCCCAATGGGCGGATTCTCGCACTACGGTGAAGTCAGGGAGGATTGGATCATGCTCAAGGGCACCGTCATGGGCCCTCGTAAGCGCTTGGTCACCCTGCGCAAATCCTTGCTGCCGCAGGTCACGCGTAAGGCCCTGGAAAAGGTGACCCTGAAGTTTATCGACACATCTTCCAAGTTCGGCCACGGCCGTTTCCAGACCAGTGAGGAGAAGGCCAAGTTCTACGGGGGTGCGCAGAAGAAGGCAAAGACAGAGGGTAAGGCCGACGAGGCATGAGGATGTTGACGAATGGAAGCCTCTGTCAATGTGCCCTTGACCGTTTGCAAAATGCGCAGAGTCCGGCTTGCACGCATGTTTGCAGCATAGGCCCGTTTGAGACCGCGAGTTCACGGGTTCTGGTTTTTCTTGGTGGAGCTGCCATCTCGGTGTCTTTGGATTTGGCTTCAGCTTGACATCAATCGGCAAGCATGAAATGGGCATAGTGCGAGATCTCATGGTACATCCATAGCCCAGCACACGCAGTTGTTGCCGCAATAGTTGGAACTGTCCAGCGAGGCCTCTACTCTTAGGGCAAAAGCCGTTGCACTCCTCTAGCTGGCGCCCTGTTGAGAGGCCCTCTGAGGGCCTGGTTTTTGTCAAGTGGTGTTTTCAAAGTTGAAGCCGGCATCTTCAGATGGAGTCCCGGATCAAGTCCAAGCAGCTGGAGGCGAAGCTTTTGAAAGACAAGGCCGGGGGAAGTTTTGTCTCTTCTTGTCTGCTCCTTCTTCCTTCTTCCTTCTCTTCTCTTCTCCTCTCCTGTCTCTTCGGAAGAGGATAACGGCTCTCGCCTTCTCGAGGTGCAGGAGGCTCGCTTGAAAGCTCAGCAGCTCCGGCTCCAGTTGAAGGCGGCGCGAGCTCACATCGTGTGCTGTGAGTCTTCGAGACGTTTTCTCTCTGAGATTCTCTCTCTCTGTGAACCCTCACTCAGGCCATCGGTGCTCAAGACACCGTGGTCCCTGGCAAGATCCAGGCAAAAAAAAGCTGAAGCGCCAATTCCAAAACGCCCCCCCCTCTGGGCTCTGCAGTTCAGGCTGGAAGTGGAAGCGAGGAGCCGTCCGAATTCCGCGAGCTCCTGGAGGCGAGGAGCACAGAAGTCAGCAGCGCTTCGCCCTGGCTCTGACGCGCTTTGCAGATGTTGGTCGGGGCCGTGGACCTGCAGCGCCAAGTCCTCTTCGAGTGCGGCTCCGAGGCCTCCAACTTTTACCGGCGACCGGTGTGTGTGTGTGTGTGAGGGTGTGGGAACTTCCTTGGCTCATGAAGCAGACGGTCATTCCTTCCCTAATGCTTTAACCGTTGAACACACATATGATTGCAGGGGAGAGGTGCATGCTGTTGGAGTCACCACTCAACGATAGCAACTTGGGACGCTATGTTGACGGACCTGCATGGCAAGCCCCCCGTGGTGCCAAGATCAGACAAAACCGGACAGGCCCCCTGTGGTGTCCAGATTAGTTTTTACAACAACCGTTGCATGTTCATGACAGTGTGCAAGACACCCTTCTTTTCCCTTCCCCTGACCTCTTCCCTTTGCCGAAATTCTGCAGTGTGATTCAGCGCGGTTCTGGTGTGGGACTTGCCTGAACAGCTTTGTTTCACATCGCAGTTTGAAGGGTTTGTCCTGCACTGTGCTTTCCTGCACGGTTTACCTAACGGTGTCATGCTCTGATACGATCTCACTCTACGCTTTGCTTTCCCTTTGCCGACGCAAAGCTCTACGATACACAGTTTGGAGCACCTTTGCGTTGTGACCGACAGTTAAGTTGGTTCCTCCGCTTTTCGCGATTTAAAAGTCCCAAGCGATGTCTACCGGCTTCACCGGTATTGTTTGTATGAAACCTCTGTTCCCAAGACTTATCCTATCGGAAGCGGGGCCAGTGAGAAGATTTGTCCTTCGTTGCCAATGAAGACGCCAGCATGTTGTCGCGATATGTTGGGTTGGGAGATGTCCTGATGTGTCGGCGACGGATGGCAGCTGGGGCACCAAGAGACAAGAGACTGACGGCCCTTGGCCAGTTAGCCTTTCTCTGGGTATGCATGTTGGTTATGCCAGTATGATCTCGTGTTAGTCAGCGTGTTTCCATTCGTGTCAGGGGGAGGTGCAGGTGGGCGGTCGCAGAGTGATGTTGCATCGCATGGCCGGACGCCCGACTTCCCATCAAGGGCCCCCCCACGTAACGAAGAAGCGAGTCAGGTCACGTGGCAGATGGGTGACTCGCCATTGAAGCTCTCTGTCCCGATGGAGCTGCAGGTGTGGCCGGAGTGTAGTTCGACTGTGTCGACGATGCTTTGGCTTGAGGCGGAGATCGCGGGCCTCTTGACCGATGCCCGGAAGCGAGGTGAGCGGAATCTATTTGGTGATGCTACTCCTGCAGAAAAATTGTCTCGCGTGCAGGACGGATGGAAGAAGCAGTGCTGCAGCGCTTGTCCAGCACTTGGGAGCTCATGGGTGCCGAGGCCAGGCAGACGAGGACGTGTCTCGAGGAAGTCCTTTTTTGGGGGAGATGGGTTTTTTGCAGAGGTGGTCTCGGCGAGTGGAAGCGGAGCCGGAGCTTGCCCATCAGCGCCCCTTCCCGAGCCGGCAATCTTCCTCGTCCATCGGTCTACCTCCCAGGCGGGTCAGCGGGCAGACGCGAGAAAGTGCAAGCATCGCCTAGCAGCTTTCGAGGCAGTCGTCGTGGCGAAGTGGCCCGCCGTCGACTTTACGTGTGGGTCCAGTTTCCAACAGAGCGGCTGTCGGAGCTGTTTCGAGTCGCTTCGAGGCAGTCAGAGGCTCCGAAAATCTTTGACCCGGAGAGCCACTTCTCCAGACCTCTAAACGAAAGCGCAACGTGAGGGGCTCAGGCCGCTCAGGCTTCTGGGCGGAACAGCAGTCTCGGCGCAAGTTGCTCGCGAACTTCCACGTGCAGAGGACAAACATCTCCACGGGGGACCGTGTAGAGGTGGAGTACGAGGCGCGAGGCATGGTGCATAGGCCGCTAGGCCTGCAAAGCATGGCCGCAGCCGTGGATTTTTTAGATTGTAACGTTGCTTGGCGAAAGATGTGCGCGTTTCCAGCACTCCTGGGACTGAGTGCCAGAGGTGGCTTCCGGGTGGTGGCGTTGGTCCTCGATTGTCTTACGAGTGCTTGAGTTTAAAACATGCATTTGTGCAAAAAATATCTTCATAAGATAGCTGCAGTCTTCCCAGGGACCTTACTGCGGTCGCAAGGTCTTGCGCCATCATGTGCGGCCACGATTGTCACGTCACAGTCTTTCTGGCTGTGGGTGCTTACGTGCAGTATCCGTTCCTGAAGAAACAACATGCTCCGCCGCTGATCTGCTGCGGCCCAGACTTTTCATGGGACTTGATAGCCCGCTGAGGTCCTCCAGAGCTTTCAGATTCAGGGTGAAGACCGCTTCGCCCCTGCGTTTTTTGGTACCATAGAATCCATAGGTCCGGCGCTCTGGCGGTCAACAGCGAAGCTCCATGATGGTGCCTTGGGACTGCGGCTTCGTCGGTCTCCACTCCTTTGTCTCTCGACGGTCCTCCTGTTACCGGCAGCTAGCTGCTTGCAGATTCCCAGTGTTTGGCGCCCAACTTCTTGATTGTGTCCTTAGCCGTCCTGTTCTTCTGTTGGCCGATGATGAGTACGCTTGTCATTGCTTCATTCGTGGTATTGGAGGTTGCTGCCGCTTCTGGTTCCGTTCGTTGCAATCTCTCGCTCTCTCGCTCTCTCTCT